ACCTCTCTTAGAAGATCTACAAGGGAGAAGCAAAAATCCATGCGCTATCCTCCTGATGAGTATGTACTTTTGACTGACATGGGAGAACCTGAGAATTATGATGAAGCCATGCAAGATAATCACAAAGATCATTGGATCAAAGCGATGGAAGATGAGATGAAGTCACTCCATGAGAATGGCACATATGAGTTAGTGAAATTGCCGAAAGGTAAGAGAGCTTTATCTAACAAATGGATATTCAGAATAAAGCAAGATAACCATACCTCTGCGCCTAGATACAAGGCGAGGTTAGTTGTTAAAGGTTTTGGCCAGAAGAAGGGAGTTGACTTTGATGAAATTTTCTCCCCTGTTGTGAAGATGTCTTCTATTCGTGTGGTTCCAGGCTTAGCCGCAAGTCTAGATTTAGAGGTTGAGCAGATGGATGTCAAGACTACTTTTCGTCATGGTGATTAGATGAGGAGATTTATATGGAGTAACCTGAGGGTTTTGTAACAAAGGGAAAAGAAAATTATGTCTGCAAATTGAAAAAGAGCCTATATGGATTGAAACAAGCTCCAAGGCAATGGTATTTGAAGTTTGAATCTGTCATTGAAGAACAAGGGTACAAGAAAACTTCTTCAGACCATTGTGTATTCTTCCAGAAGTTCTCTGATGATGACTTTATTATTTTATTGCTTTATGTGGATGACATGTTTATTGTTGGAAAGAATAAATCCAGAATTGCAGTCCTTAAGAAGCAGTTGAGCAAATCGTTTGCGATGAAGGCCTTGGGGCCAGCAAAGAAAATCTTGGGCATTCAAATCCACCGACACAGAGATAGAAATGAGTTATTTCTGTCCCAAAAGCAATACATTGAGAAGGTACTCAAGAGGTTCAATATGACAGATGCAAAAGTGGTTAGTACTCCTCTTGCTAAACACTTCAAATTGAGTATTAGTCAGAGTCCATCTACTGATGAAGAGAAAAAGGAGATGTCTCGTATTCCTTACTCTTCTGCCGTTGGTAGCTTGATGTATGCTATGGTTTGCACTAGACCAGATATTGCACATGTCGTTGGCACTGTTAGCAGATTCATTTCCAATCCTGGAAAAGAACATTGGGATGCAGTAAAATGGATATTAAGGTATTTAAAAGGTACTGCAGATTTGAAGTTGTGCTTTGGCAATGGCAAGCCTGAACTTGTTTGTTACACAGACTCTGATTTAGGAGGCAATCTTGATAATTCAAGATCCACTTCCGGTTATTTGATCACTTTTGCAGGGGGAGCTGTTTCTTGGCAATCTAGACTACAGAAGTGCATAGCTCTATCCACCATAGAAGCCGAATATATTGCTATCACAGAAGGTGCCAAAGAACTATTATGGATGAAGGAGTTTATTAATGATCTTGGCTTTGAGCAGCCACGGTACATCTTATTTTGTGATAATCAGAGTGCTATCTGTCTCACCAAGCACTCCACTTTTCATTCTAAAACCAAACATATAAATAGAAAGTATCATTGGATAAGAATGACCGTGGAAGAGAAATTATTTGAGGTTGAGAAGATACACACTGATGAAAATCCTTCGAATATGCTGACAAAGGCGGTGGTTGCAGATAAACATGAATTTTGTAGAAAATTGGCAGGCATGAAGCCTGTCAATAGTTCCTCTACTTAAAGACACATTTGGCCCCTTGGCTGGAGGGGTGTTTGTTGGGCACATGCCCATGTTGTCCAGCCAAAGGCCCAATGGCCTAATCCTATTCTCTTTTGGTTTCCAATCCTATTTGGAATTGGATTCGGTTTATTCCTATTTTGAGTGGGTTTTGGCTTTAAGGAAAAGCACCACTCATGATCTATAAATAGGACAACGTTGGAGAATTATTCTATGCTCATCGATACAAGTTTTTGAAGGACTTAAGCACATAAGAGTGGGTTTTGAGAGAGCTTTCATCAAGAGAGAAGAGAGAAAAAAAAAAGTATTTGTTTTGCTGCAGATTTTTTCCGACCAGCCAACTTCAAATGATGTTTTCCGATTCTTTAACCGTTGGATCGGGCTGAAATTTTGACTGAGTGTTCGTAACATCTTGGTCTTGGATTTGAACGGTGGAGATCGGATTTGGAGGCTCGTAGCATCTGATTTCGAGCCTCAAACAGCAGTTTTGTTTTGTGGATTATACTCTTTCTTCAATTGATTAGTTGTTGCTCTTGTTGCTATTGTTGCTCCGTGTTTGGCCCTTGTTGTGTAGCCAATGTGGAGAACTTTTGTAACCCTCTTATTGTTATAGTGGAGCTTTTTGGATCTTTGTGATCCCGTGATTTTTACCTTCGATTTGAAGGGTTTTCCACGTTAAAATTTGGTGTTCTTTATCTTCTTTATTTATGTCATACTTTTCGTATTATTCATAGTCGAATTATAATTTGTAAATATTTTAAATAGATTATTTGTTATAATTTTGTGATTTTGATGTAATTTTTATAATTATTTTTATTTTATTCTATCGTAAAATTCTCGAAATTAGTAAAATTTAAAGATCCGTGAGACTTACGCCCCATGTCTCAGGGCTTACGCTTCGTCTCGTCAGAGGTAAACGCCTCGTCTCACGCCCCCGCCTTTTAAAACATTGTATACATGGAGGACCCCCTTAATATTTTGTTGGTACCCTCAAAGTCACAAAACGCATGATAGAGTTTGTTGAGTGTACTGCTGAAAGCTTCCTGCTCGGTACCGAATCCTAATTTTTGCTTTTTTAGGTTTTTCTTGTACTTTATTGATTTCAATTATTTTTTTACTTAGTAGTCAACTGATTCATTTGTTTTATTTTTATTTTTCAAAATTCAATTATCATTTAATACTTGATCATAAAATTAACTTATTAATGTTATTCTTTTTCAAGTTCTTTCCTCAAAATCAAAAGCTCCAAACTGTAGCTCCTATATCTACAAATAGTAAATTACAAACCCTTCTCCCTTCTGATACCGGCGATTGAGGATTTATACTTTGTTAATAAATTATCATAATCGCCAAGTTTTAAAAGGGTTACATGCCCAAATTTGTTGCTAGTAATTGGCATATCTAAAGACGATGTGCCCCTATTGCACTCAAATCCTGGGTCTGCCTCTGACCCCAACGCTAAAATGTTTTTTCGCGTGCAGCCAGGGGCGGATGCACATTTGATGAAGCGGTCTCACGCAGGGGCGGATTTAGGGGGGCGCAAGGGGGTTCAACCGAACCCCCTTCGCCGAAAAATTACACTGTATATATAAGGCAAAATCTGGTTTTTATCTCTATATATTAAGTTTTGAACACCCTTGACACAACCCTAAAGTGTAGTTTAGTGGTCAAGGGGGTTCAAAACCTTCATAAGGTCACAGGTTCAATTCCCACAAGCCACAAAATTTTCTTTTGAACCCCCTTCGTGGAGATCCTGGCTCCGCCACTGGTCTCACGCGATACTGCTTCGTTGAAAAACTTTACGAAACATATGTATTAATGTATCTTAGCTTGTTGGTAATATTGTGATTATATTTGTAGGCTCAGTTGGCCATGAGCCTACAAATATAATAAGTAGGGGTCTGCATAGTTTGGGCAAACACAAATCCGAATTTTTTAGATTTTTAATTTGGATTTTCGGATTACGGATTGGATTTTGAACTTAATTTTTGAATTTTTTGGATTTTGGATTAGATGTTGGATTTGGTACTTTGGATTTTTGGATGTCCGAAAATCCGAGAATTTTATACTTTATATTTATTCCATTATCTATATGCCAATAATAATAAGTTAAATACTCTATCCATTAGATATTATTTCATATATGCAATATTAATTACTAAGTTACTGTCAGAATATTACTATTACTACTTCTTACCGGTCGTATTAATGTCTCTGTTGTAAATTCTTGATAGTAATTTCATTACTTGAATACTTTATTTGGATGATTGCGGTGAGAATGAGTAACTTTTCGGGCAATTTAATATGAGTACTTCATTTGGATTTTCATTTTTGTAAAAAGAAGAAACATGTCAACTTATAAGCTCAAAACCGAAAATCCAAAATATCCAACCCGATTAATCCGAAACCGAACTTAAAATATTCGATCAAATCCGACCTTATTTGGATTGGATTTGGATTGTCATTTCTTCAATCCGAAAACCAAAATTCCAAACTGAAATTTTATATTTAATCCGAACTGCCCGAACGCCCACCCCTAATAATAAGCACGTTCGCCAAATTTGATTTTCAAAAATAAAAGATTGAGCATGTGTTGATGGAGCTGCGAAGAGTGGCTTTAATAAGAGAGAAAATTGATTGATAAGGCTATTTAGTGAATGGAGAAATTAAAACAAATCTGATCTGATTGATTAAACTTCATTGGTGGTCAGGAACAATTATATATTGATGCGTTAGTTAAAAATGCTCTTATGTCTTTTCATAATTTGAAATAGCTAAAGACAATCCAGTGAACAATTAGAAATAATAATAGAAACAAGTCGCAAAAAGGCTACTCATCTTTTTACGTTTCTGTAATGATTAATAGTTTTTGTGCAACAAAATACAATTATTAAGAAACCGAATTTCTCTGACTCTGTTTTGAGAAGAGGGAGACTTCAGGTTTTATAATGCAAAAAATTGAGACATATCATATAGACAGATATAGTAATGACGAAAAACTTCTCATCAGTAAGAAACCGAATTTCTCAACCAGTGACTGATCTACAATGTGTGTGCGTCATTAATTATGAGTAGCTTGCTAAAGATTTATTGTAATGTCAGTCTTTGTAAATGATGTATTTGTTGAGAGGCACATCTGTCGCACAAAGCTTATATGAAAATGTCCTGGTTATATTGGAGATGTTTCGGTCCCAAAATTAAAGCCAAGTCCAAATCCCTTCTGCGTTCTCTGTGTTGAGGCCACACATCGCAATCTATCTCAGTAACCCAATAACTTTGTAAAATTTATCTCACCATTTGTTTGATTCTTCGTATTATATAATAGTAATATAAGAAGCAAGAAAATTGCACGAGACCAATGATTATGAGCATCTTCTATTCTACTCTCCAAATAAATCATTTCCAACTAGAAGCAATAACAATTGTGTTGCTAAAATGAGAAACTTAATATATAACCGCAAACATCCTTGTTTCTGACTTGAAGAAAGAAAAATATGTCAATTAGAAGTTTTATTCCCGCTTAGCTTCACCAGTCCAGTAAGTTTTCACGGCAATAAGAATCTTCTCTGGGTTAAATGGTCCGCTCTCATGGTCTACAATGCGACTTTGCCATCTCATGCCGTCTGCTATACTTTTGATTTTCACTAGGACTTCCACTACATCTCTGAATATAACAGTACCTTCAGGCCTCAGGATTCTATCCATCTCGAGGAGAATGTAGGTGATATCACATCTTCATAAAAAAAGAAAAAAATTAACATACACAAATAAACCAATACACGAGAACAGAAATACATCAATACACATGAACATTTTACCTGTCCTGATATAGGCTGATCAAACCACCAGCATGGATGAGATCATATGTTCGTGGATACGTTGAAAAAGCTTCACACCAATCATTGTATGTGCCAATGAAGCCTCGTTCATATATCACACCCAAAGTGTCGGGGTCATTATTGGCAGGAACCACGTTCATTACCCAAACTGGATATTTCGAAAGAGCTGCTGCGAATCCACCCAAATAAGCATTCGCGTCCATCACGTTACGATATCGTCCCTGGGGTAAGAGACCAATTAGGCGTTTGTAGTATGACACCCGTTCATTCCATACCTGATTACAACAACAACAAAAACTGTGGCTCAGTCTCAAACAAGTTTTAAGGACGGGTATATGAATCCTTACTGACCATGCTTCTCCATTTAAATTCATGATGAATCCCTATTCTATACCTGATTATCCTCTTGAAATTTCTCTATTGTGATGCTTGGTATTGAACCACTACTAATCCTAGGAGGAGTAGCGAATGCTCGCTCTGGCCATTTTTCTAATGCACCACCTGCGACTTCATCCGAGTTGGTTACTTCCGGCAGCGGCGTGATACATGCTTCCATGTCTTGGTACCTTATTTGAGTAATGATATGGAGAGGTCAAACTGGTAATTAATTGTTCATAATGGTTTAGATATTATAGTATCGGTCACTTTATAGAGATTGAGAAAGTACCATGCTGCATCACCGTTGCCTGACTTGCAGATATGTGGCTTATGATTAGATGATCTGCTTTTGGTGCATTCAATGTGGTTGAGAGGCTTTTGCCACACAGCTAGGTCACCCTTCTCGATCACCTTTTTCCAGCAAAGTCGCCTCGCAGTGTCTTCAATGGAATCTTGCTCTTGCTTCAAATCTTCTTGGGTTCTCTCCCAACCTCTCCAGTATGTCTTCCAGCGGATAGGAGGGCCTGAAAGTATCCAATAACCCCCTGGCCGTAAAACTCTGTCAACTTCAATAAGGTACAACCCATCTGTAAACAAAAAAAAAAAATATACAAGGATGAAGATTTTGACTGTTTATATATGTAGCTCATCTAATCATCAATTTTGCCTGACATATATATGGTCTAATAACACCTTACCGTACTTGTTCCATGGGATTAAGCAACGAGAACAATGAGCCATATCAAAAGCCCTCGCTGGATATGGAAGTCTCTGAGAACCCATAACACCAATCATTGCCGGAACTCCTCTTTCCAGTGCAAACCAGACCTGTGCTTCATGTGTATCTCTTGGAGCAAAAGACATGGCTACTATATCCCTCTTCAGCAGATAAGCACCCCAACTTGCAACCTTTTATGACATTGAAGTTTAAAATGTTTTTAGTATACGAGAATTGCATAAGTATATAATTAGGTATTTAAGCAACAAATACCAAATTGGTTCCAATAAAGAAGTAGGAAAATCCTTAATGTAATAAAGAGGCATAATCTTACACCACAGCCTGTATCGATTGCTGTCCGAATGGCTCCACTAGTAAGGGGAACCAGCTCACTTATATCATCAATGTAAGCATCAGCTCCGTGCGGGAACATGGTGCCACCTCCTGGAAATCTTAAACGATCACCTTCCACTTGGACCCAATTCTGAACAGCTTTCTCAATGCTAAGCTCTTTATGTGGAATATTGGCAAACCAAGCATAATCTCTACTCTGAGGCCATTTGAAGGGAATCTTGTAATTTGGTGGAGCAGGTATAAGACAACGGATAAGCTCTTCCTTGCTTGGGCAATGCCTCTCTCTGTACTTTAACATATTACGGTCAAACTTTCGACCCCTCTGTGGCTCTTGACATGGTGTGTATTCGCTGTAGGACATATCGCAGGCTGGAAAGTTTTCTGATGACTTAGAGTTGTTGACCACTAACTGATGATGGCTTTCGAAATCGAGAGGGACTGAGAGTGACGATGATGATGATGACGATGATATTCGTGATGATGCGATATCAGGGTTCGGAGATCCAGAATCACAGCCAACTCTGGAGTATACTTCAGATTGACTGGATGGAGTGGGTCTAGCATTCTGCCAGGCTCCTAGGACATAGAATAAGATGCAGAGGCCACTAACAGCAAGGATCCAAGTGAGCCGTTTTCTCTTCGATTCGAGCTGGTGTAACTTTGGGGATCCACTATGGTCTTTTGCCATCTAAACCTGCTCATAATCATGTAGAAAGATAGAGGAGGCTCAAGAACATTGGAGGCCTAAAGCCAAACTTTATTAGAGGCCTCAAACTATAAAAAAAAAAAAAAATCATATTGAGTAATTTGATTAATGCTATATAGCTGACATATATGCATTCTGATAAATAATAAAAAGTAATATGCTACTATGAGATAAGAAAATAAATATTAAAGTGTAAATATAAAGCTCAAAAATAGAAAGCTAGAATAGTAAATATGATTCTAGAAGCTTATAATTTGATATTAGAATAAAATTCTATTATTTTTAGTTTGTTTGTTGTAATGCTTGAGGACTTGAAAATAATGGATTTTTTTATTTATTCATCCCTTGTTTTTAAGAGAATAGGCAGCTTAGTAATTAGAGGGAAAAAGTGAATATAAAATACGAGTTTTATTATGAGAAAAAATAAAATATTAATATTAGAATATAAATTAACTATTAGTCATCATCTATCACATTGACAAAATAATTCTTTTCCTATTTTATGCATCTCTTATAATCTTTTACCATAGATATTTATTCTAAGAATACATAGATACATATATCTAATGGGCCAAAAATTTGGGGGCCTAAAGCCATTGCTTCATCTGCTTGGCCCTTAAGCCGGCATATATATACATTAGACCAAAAAGGAAGTATTCGAAACTGATATTAAAGTGAATCTTTTCTGCTGAATATATGATTAATTTAACTCTCAGAAACAACTTAAAAGAAGAAAAAATTAAATAACATCATTTACCTTCTTTTCTAATTTCTTTCTTGTTTCCGATAAAAGTAGAAACAACAATGTTATTGACCAAAAAGGAAAAGGAGAAACAACAGTAACTATTCTTATTTTAATTTGTATAGGTATATATCTGCATAATGTAACATTCAGCTACGAATAAAAAGAACGAAGGAAGTGATCATAATTTGACAAATATATACAAGTGAAACATTAGATATCTCTGAACAAATAGACATTCAACTTAAGATGGAAAGAGAAAATAACCATTAGAAAGTAGATATTTTCCTAATATAAAAGGATTCTAATTAGCACAACACAGAGATAGAGTGCAACTAAATCAAAACATATATACCTATACAACGAAGGAATATACCTCTCAGTATATCTATCTGCTTCTTGAACCAAAATGTCTACTTTTCCCTGAGTTAATGTAAAATACAACAAGCAGTAAAAACCAATGGTGTTTGGGAAAGGAAAAAGGAAGAGGTAGAGCTGAAGCTAATTAACAAGATGTTATAGGACACATGAGTAGTTGGCACATACAAATAGATAGTACATACATCGTAAAATCAAAGGGAAGTTTTTGTTTCTGTTCAATCATCGTACATTTGATGTTGCAGGTACAGAGAATGTAGAGTAATCACGAAGGGACAGTAACTATATATGGAGTTTCTTGAACACCAAACACCATTGTCGCTATAAATTAAACATATGGACCTTAGAGAGGAGAGAGAGAGAAAAGAAAGGAAAGTGTTTAAAATTAGAAAAATAAAGTGAAACGCTACAAAAAGTTCATCAAATGCAGGGAAAATGTGTGAAAGGTAAAGGCATGAACTACAACCTAGAAAAGAAAAAGAAAAAAGAAGTAAAGGGGGTTCAGATAGGAGGGAGAACTGGCATTCATAAGTATGCAAAGAAGAGGGAATTTATAGGGAAAAGATGAAGTTGAATATGTGCATTAAATTTAAGTTTGTCAGTTGGTGATACGATTGAAATGATACTAAAGAGTCGGAAGATAGGGGATGGAGAAGTGATTGAGGGGAGAAATGCCAAGGTGTGGTTGGGAGAGGATGGAGGTTTTTTTGTCCGACAAATGCCCGCAAGAAGTGAGCATCCTTCACTCTATCCTCAAATGCCTCTCCACCTCATTCCTAATTGCTATCTCCTTGCCCCTGTAGAGGAATAATCTTCAATTTCCTATTCTTTATATACTAGGCCTGAAAAATAGTACTATAACAGTAACTACTTTTACAAATAAATAGAAAATTTGTAAGGTATGCATGCAAAAATATGTATGAAATTAAAACTTATACAATTCTCAGCCACTTGCGGCTTGCCTATTCTCTCGTAAGCCTAACTAGAGTCCGGAACCTAAATATTGTATTTTTGGACTCAAAATACATTAATAAGTGTAAAAAAAAAGTTACCTTTCTATGTATAGCATCCAAATACAAGACGCTATACCTTAACGGTAACTTTTGCCGTTAAGGTATAGCGTCTTGTATTTGGACGCTATATAGCCTGACGATTCAACTGACATATATAGCGTCCTCATTTCATACGCTATACATATAGCGTTCAAAAAAAAATGCTATACCCTTAATTAAATATCGCCCTTCGTCTTCTTCCCCGACCAGAAACCCTTTCCCCCATTTTTTTTAACCCCCCTGCTTCTGGTCCCCCCACTGCTCGATTTTTTTTTAAAAAAAATTGTGGGCCCCTCTCGTCACACAAAAGGTGAAGAACTTAGGTCCCACATCGTACTGGAGCATTGTATTATTGTGATTTAACTTCATCGTCTTCAAATTTTCACACAAAACACTCACTACATCGAGGTATTTCGATTTATTTTATGTCGAAACTTGTATAATAATGTATATTAGTTGATTGAATGTGTTTCCATGTCGTTTTGTGTTTTATTTGCGAAACTAGTATGTTATATTTATTCGGACTTAGATTAATGTGGTCTAAAATAAATGTAAAATTGAGATTTAATTTTTTATGTTAATATCCGAATTTAGATATTAGTGTTTCCATGTCGTTTTGTGTATTATTTGCGAAACTAGTATGTTATATGTATTTTTGTGAATGTTATGTGATTAAAATGTATTTGTTGTTTACAGGGGCGGATTTAGGGGGGCGCAAGGGTGTTCACCCGAACACCCTTCGCCGAAAAATTACATGGTATATATAAGGCAAAATCTGCTTTTTATCTCTATATATTAAGTTTTGAACACCCTTAACACAATCCAAAAGTGTAATTTAGTGGTCAAGGGGGTTCAAAATCTACTTAAGGTCATGGGTTCAATTCCCACTAGCTACAAAAAAAAATTTTTGAACCCCCTTCGTGGAGATCCTGCCTCCGCCACTGGTTGTTTACATTTAGTTTATTTATTAGCGTAGTAAAATGTAAAAACTTTGAGCATAGTAAACTGTATAGTATTTTAGCGTAGAATCCTTGTAGTTTAAGTATTTCTTATACTGGTAGATGAAGATATATACTTTGTACAATTAAATAATCAAAATATTGAATTTGACACACATAAATATTCATGATATTTTGGTGCTATTGGGTCTCAAATATCGAGCCTGGAACCCAATATGTATATATATTTTGTACAATTAAATAATTAAAAATTAAGAATTTAAATTATAAAACAAACACACAGAAAATTATCAAAATATTGAATTTGACACACATCAATATTCATGATAGTGTGGTGCTACTGGGCCTCAAATATCGAGTCTGGAACCCAATAGGTATATATATTTAAGAATTTAAATTATAAAACAAACACACACAAAATAATCAAAATATTGAATTTGACACACATAAATATTCATGATAGTTTGGTGCTACTGGGCCTCGAATATCGAGCCTGAAACCCAATAGGTATATATATTTTGTACAATTAAATAATTAAAAATTAAGAATTTAAATTATAAACAAACACACACAAAATTATCAAAATATTGAATTTGACACACATAAATATTCATAGTTTGGTGTTACTGAGCCTCAAATATCGAGCCTAGAACCCAATAGGTATATATATTTTGTACAATTAAATAATTAAAAATTAAGAATTTAAATTATAAAACAAACACAAACAAAATTATCAAAGTATTGAATTTGACATACATAAATATTCAAGATTGTTTGGTGCTACTGGGCCTCAAATATCGAGCCTGGAACCCAATAGGTATATATATTTTGTACAATTAAATAATTAAAAATTAAGAATTTAAATTATAAAACAAACACACACAAAATTATCAAAATATTAAATTTGACACACATAAATATTCATGATAGTTTGGTGCTACTGGGCCTCAAATATCGAGCCTGGAAACCAATAGGTATATATATTTTGTACAATTAAATAATTAAAAATTAAGAATTTAAATTATAAAACAAACACACACAAAATTATCAAAATATTGAATTTGACACACATAAATATTCATGATAGTTTGGTGCTACTGGGCCTCAAATATCGAGCCTGGAACCCAATAGGTATATATATTTTGTACAATTAAATAATAAACATACAATTAATGTTGTTTAATTTACAGTTGACGACATGGACACGCCGCCTATACATCCCGGCCCTTACTCTCGTGAGCTATTAGTGCTTCAGGGCGATCATAGGTCCGCCCATATATGGGAGGGAGAGTTACTGTCCCAGACTCTCCGCGCTAGGAGAGTGGACGACCTGTGGGATTTTCTGAGGCCCAGAGATCTCCACGAGCGTGTAGTCCATCGCCTCCAGGCTACGGAATTCTATAGGATTATTGAGATCGGGCGGATACAGGTTGACTGGGTTTTGATCACGGCGTTGATTGAACGGTGGCGACTGGAGACGCACACTTTTCACCTGCCCATTGGTGAGGCTACCATCACGCTGCAGGACGTGGAGATTTTATATGGCCTGCCCGTTGATGGCATGGCCGTTTCACTGCCTATTACTATGAGATCTATGGCGCGTGATGCTTATTTGGACATGCTGCAGCAGCTCACGGGTTTCAGGCCACAGGACGAGACTGCATCGTCGGGTGCCAGTCGGTTGACTTTGACACCTATTAGACAGTACCTGGAGGTACTCCACCCCGATATCACCGACGATACAGAGGAGGTACATATCACCCGGTTTACGAGGTTGTTGCTGCTTCTTCTATTTGGAGGTGTCTTGTTCCCGAACACTTCGGGGAACCTAGTCAGCCTGAGATTTCTTCATCATCTTCAGTTGCTAGATGAGTTACCCTATTACAGTTGGGGTGTTGCTGTTCTCGGCTACATGTATACGCAGATATGCCGGGCGAGCATGGGCACTCAGAGAGATGTTTGTGGTTTTATGCCGCTTCTACAGGTGACAACATATTCAAATAATCTGTTCATCAGTCCCAAGTCTACCTAGTTAGAATTTATCTTAAACCTTACGTCAACTTTGCATGTTAGTTTGGGCCTGAGAGCGGTTCTTGCAGTTTCAGCCACCTCGACCACAATTACCTCCTAATGTACCACCTCCGTTTCTCCCTCCAGCCAGGAGGTAGGTTCTCCGCCGTACACTTTCACGAGAGTATGATGCTCATCATAATCTCCCCCTCTGCAGGGATGTGTTGGATCTGCTGGAGGGCGCACAGGTAAATATGTACCTAAACTTACCTGGTATAGATTAACTTAGTGTTGCGCATACTCACGTTTCATGTTCTTATTTGATAGTTCATCTGGACGCCATATAACGACGATTTGAAAGCTTCCATGCCACCTTATTGCTCGGTCGGCCGACAGATTTGGAGCACTTCTGCCCCACTCATATGCCTCGATATTGTGGAGCATCATGCCTCGGAGCGGGTACTTCGACAGTTTGCCCGCCCGCAGTATATACCGAGGGGGCCTATATGGGAGCCTACACATTATCAGAGGGATGATCATTGCAGGGCGGACGACGCATTTATGGCATCGGGTTTAGCGGCGTATATCCATATTTGGGGACCATCGAGATCAGATGATTCCGCCCCCACCTACACAGATCCAGGAGGTGGCTATTCAGGGGTATATGTCCTGGTACCGGCACGTCACCCGAATTTTTATCGGGAACCCTATTCATCAGGCTGGCGGTCGGTACGTTCCATACGCCGGGCGACACGAGGCCCTGGTATGTTTTCTGTTATTATTAATTATACAACTGTATTTTAGTGCAATATATGTAGTTCATATTTTATACGTTGTGCAGGCTATTGGACTACATACAGTCTATCAGATGGGACTGTAGATGCAGGATTATGTCGGTGATCCTGCGGTCGCCTTGCAGGATTACAGCCATCGATTTGTAGAGTTGGCTGCTCGAACACTGCAGCGAGCCCGGGAGGATCAGCGTTTGGCACACATGCCTGATTGTGTGGAGCCAGAGCAGTACGAGCGAGGCCCTGGTGTGCCACGAGGTGGTGGTGCCTGACGAGGTGGTGGTGCCCGACGAGGTGGAGGTGCCCGACGAGGCGGGGGTGCCGGACGATGTGGCGGTAGGCGGAGAGGAGGTGGTCCCCAGCAAGGGGGCGTTGAGGCCCCTGCTGATTATGTTGTTGCCGATCTGCCGGGTGGCCTACATGAGACGGACATGCCGTCGTACAGCCTTGGGATGGATCTCACTCTAGGGACTTCGCAGGCGACCCCGTCAGGTCAATTATTTATCACGGGCACGGACCTTTCTAGAGTGGATTGGGATACATACTTTCCAGGCCCGTCTACTGTTGCTGAGGAGCGGCCGACACGAGATTTACATAGTGGGCGTCGGCTGAGTTATGGTTCATCATCACAGGCACAGGTATGGTTTTCTTAGTATTGAATTAGAATATGTCTTTATTTTCCATAACTTTATTAATTTCCTTTTTAAGGCTGAACGCGATGCTGACATGACTGCGATGGATGATTACATTCAGGAGCCTAACGAGATGGTGGTAAGACAATTTATATTGTTGTGACTTATTATATACTTTGCTATACTGAGCTTTCTATTCTTATGTAGGTTTCTACTGGACTGACGGCCCCTTCTACCGGTCCTGTCAGCACCACTGATGATCATGCTGCGGCGCATCCGGCTATAAGGAGGCGACTTGATGATGACGATCCCGATAGCGTACCCAGGCGGGATGCGATGCGCCTTAGGCCAGCGGCTGCGTT